ACTCACACAGTGTTTTATAGGGACATTCCATAGACATAATGGTTTTTCTACTGTACAAACTGTATTTTCTAGCCCCTGACACAAAACTACAGGCTTTTTTACAAAAGTGCAAACCACTTAATTCTGTATGATTTATAAGCTGTTTTCCTCATGGGGACCAAAAAATATCCCCACAAGGTCAAAAATGATTAAATTATTATAATGGGGATATTTGGTCCCCATAATGTAGGCAATACCAGGCACAAACACTCATTAACTCTCACTAATGAACATAACTAGTGTCAATTAAATATGTAGTCAGAGGCATTATGCACCAGTGGCATGATTTGACCAGAAAATCATATTTTTATTTTAATAGTTGTATGTAATGTAATGTTTATATGTGTAGAAATCTTAGAAAACATTTTCCAGTTTGTATTATAATTATGATGCATGCATTTTTTTCATTGAGCTCATATTAATGAGATGGTAACACTTTAGCTTAGGGACCAAATCTCACTATTAACTATTTGCTAATTATCGTGCATTTTACTAACATATTTGCTGTTTATTAAAGCACATATTAATGTATTATTCTGCATGACCATATTTTAGATCCATTAATCCACCACATACCTAAATTTAGCAACTACCTTACTAAATATTAATAAACAGCAAATTAGGAGTTTATTGAGGCAAAATGTGTAGTTAATAATAGTTAGTTAATAGTGAGAATCGGTCTCTAAAGTGTGACCATTGAGAGACTAGATGGAATATTTCAGTAAAGTTCCATTAGTTAACATTAGTTAATGCATTAACTAACATCATTAACAATGAGCCATGCATTTATTGCAGTATTTATTAATCTGTTAATGTTAGTTAAGACAAAATACAACTGTTCATTGTAAATGTTTGACTAATCAGTCTAATAATATACAACTTTTGATTTTAATAATTCATTAATAATTAGTAAATGTTGACATTAACTAAGATTAATAAATGCTTTAGAGATATTTTGTTAGTTCATAGTAACTAGTGTAGTTAAATTGTGTTAACCTTATTGTAAAGTTTTTTAATATTCCAATTTTTCTACTTTAAAAAAATAAATTTGTCACGCCACATGGCCGTTTAAAATAAACGAGTCTAGTGAAATCAACATCCATATACAAATTAATTGTTTAAAAGAGGCTTCCGCCGTTTCATTAACTTGTGATCCACACAACCAATCACAAATAAATGAATATAAATGTACAAATATTTTTTTTTGAGAAGTGCTTTAATGTATTATATATTACCCATCATCCTTCAGATCCTTCAGATAGCTAATGTAATAGGAGTTAATCAAATCGTGCACAGCTAGCATGATGCTTCAGGATATTGGACTGTGTTCTATCTGATAAATCTAATAAAGGAAGATAATTATATTTGGATGTTGGCAACTCATGTTCAGAATGTTTTTTTGTTTTAATTGAATGAAACATGTCTTGTGGTTGAGTAGCACACAATGCACTACGATTCAGCCGTCTGTTTACATCAGTTTTGCAGTACAATAAAAAAACTAGCAGCAGAATAATGTTTTGTCCAGCAAAATGCATGCTGTCCACTGAGGGGGAAAGTAAATGAAATGATGAGCTTTGGATCTTCAAGGGGAAAACTGTTGAGGAAAACTTATTCTGACTTTTGAGCAGAACTGGTCATGAATAATTCAGAGGTAGTATAAATATATATAATTATATTTGTTTTGCAATTTTAGAGCCATTGGAAGAGCCAACAGAGGAACCGATGGATTTTAGCTTTCCATTTTTCAACTTGTCATTTCCAGTGAGGACGACAGACAAGTCTCCAGGTATTTGCTTGAAATTCATACTTCGTAAGTTGAAGGAATTCAACGAATTGTGTTCACACTGCAGCGTTGTTTCTCTGTTTGACAGTTTATCTTCCCACTGATAGTAAGTGAGAGGTTTTGGCAGGGATCGTTATACGCATTCACAGATTAAACACAAAGTATCAAATGCTTTTGAGATCTTAGCCAGAGTTTTTTTTTTTTTCTTTACTCCTAAGCGTTATCCAGATGGTTTGGTCTTGTTTGTGGTGGGCGGAGTTTTCCCCATCATCTGGCTCTGGCCAATCAAAGCGTGCCTGTCTTCCCTAATGCAGTCATGTGGCAGACCAGCATGACTCAGTCTGCTCTTCATTAGCTAACTGTTTCCAGGCCGTTTATTTATAACCATCTAGCATGTGAACACTCTCTACGATTGCAGGAGTCATATTTATCAGCTCAAGACTGGAATGAAGTTTATGTATTTGATTCATAAAGTACTCTAACAAAGAGCTTTTTTTTAAGAATGTGTGAAGGTACATTATGTAATGACTAGAAAAAAAAAATCATATATTTTTGAGCTCTTCAGAGTAGCCAGCCTTTGCCTGGACTAACTGAAGCATAAAAGCTTTGTTCACACAAGAATGTCTTCATTTCTGGAGCACTGTATGCTAACGACGGCAAAAATGAGGATGCTTATGATTGTAGGCAATTTTGAGGCAAACCAAAAATCTATTTAAATGAAATAACTTTTTATCACCTTAGGAAGTAAAAAAACAGATGGACATATTATTATTTTAAATAATATTTCTGTCTCAAGGCTCATTTAATTTGTTTCTTTTTCTTTCTTTTTTTTAAACTAGTTTAGAAATGCTATAACAGTAATATTTACAAAAAAATGTACAATCACTAAATAATATTGGTCTCATTTTCTTTTTTTTTTTTTTTTATTTTTTTTTTTTTTTTTTTTTTTGTTTTTTTTTTTTTTTTTT